AATGTCGCACTTCTCGCGATTGAGCCTGGCAGCGCCTTCCATACTGCCTCCTCCCGATATACCACAGAATTCAAACAATCCGTCGAAAACAGGACAGTCGTCTCCTACATTGTACTTGGTCTGTTCTTTTGTAAACTGTTCCATGTTGTCGGGTGTGACTTTCCAAAGAAAATCGACGTATTCGTCGGTATGAAATTGCGCCATCTCTTTTCGCGTCGCTGGTTTGGCTCGCTGAAAATGGGTCCCAAAAGTCAGCAACTAAAAACGACGAAGAAGAAGAATAGGACCCGATGATGGAAAAGGTTGAAACCTACATAAATCTCCATCTTTTTGTATAACTTATAATTCATAATGAGGGAGTGGGTCATCCTAATACGATGAGGTTTCATCGGGTGGCCTGCAACGTAGGCATAATTGCTGGACAGCCGAGTTAGCATCACCACCACCAAACGCATCAAAAATCTGAGCCGGGGGGAGCTTGCCAACTTACCCGACATCCGCTGTATCGATTAAAAACCATCTCTAATTAGCATATGTAAAAGGTATCGAGGATTTTCGGGGCCGTTCAGGAATTGCGACGCCTCGGTTCCGAAGCCGAGAAGTGGTTGGTGTTGAGGGCGGAAGACTTACAATCGTAAAACTAGCAACGGGAACAAGGTTAGTAACGAGCTGCAGGGTGAGAGATACTAGCTACGAAAAATTAAAGTACTCACATATGCCACACGCTTCTTTTGAACCGGCCCAGTCGATATCGAAGGTGGGTTCAAAGGCTCGTAGACAACATTAGTCCCGCCCATTGTAACAGTCGCGATGCCGGACCGGAAAGTACCACAGTCCGGGGCGGTCTTAAACAAAGGTAAAGAAGAATGGGAACCAAATAGCAGTAGATGGAACTTGTGGTAAAGGGTATTAGTCCTCGAAAGAAGCGAGAGGTAGATGAGCGATAAGGGCGGGGTGGAAGTTGCTGACGGGATGCGATGATGGCGAAGAAGGAGGGAAGAAGAGGAAAGTTGGAGGGACGACGGGAAATAATTGAATTGCCCTGCTTCTGCTGCTGCCGCCAAAAGTCGCGCGCGAAGGGACACCAGCCCAGGCAACGCCGCAAAGCCACGTTCAGCCACACTACACTCTCTAGCCACAGGACGTCCCTCGAAACCTTCAATGGAAGCCCACCCACGACTGGGTCCAATTGAATGACAGAGGCTAAACATCTAGTCAAACCAACCTATGCTAGTCGTATACCTGAAGTCGTAATTTTTTCCAGCCAATCTGACTTCATAAATTATCATTGTGAAATAGCATTACAATATGCAACGAAATCAACACAGAGAGGAGCAAATCACACCAGACCCTCCAACCTCGTAGTAGGTAGGCTTTGATAGAAACAGACTTATACATACCTACTAAATAAGTTGTGACGATCCCTAATGACTAAAACTTGCTATATGATCTAACTTTTCAGCAGTGACGAGAATTAGGGCTATAGGAGACAGCAGCTTGAGCCATATTGCCATTAGGAATACAATCTGCTTATGTATATGCGTATAAACTGATGAGAAATTGTTCGAAAATTTAATCGATCAAAATACCATCCGAGGAATACATATATATTAAAATAAAACTGCTAACCACTTCTATAGTTTGGCGGCTAAAAGGCTTTAAAGCTAAGTGACAGACCGCTGCTGTCAACCCCGCAACTGCTATTCCCTGGAAGTTCAAGTCGATCATTGTAGATATCATCAACTTGTCTCGTGCCGCCTGTTCGCAGCCGTGCTAACGCCATTGATTAATCCAGACTATAAGGGTGTTAATCAAAGTTCAAAAGAGGTTAGAAGAGCTCTCTTAGAGATTCTTTGCAATTTTTATTTTTCGGGTACCAAAAAGCTCTTATCCTGAACTTCAAAATAATAGCTTCGTGCCATCCAAATGGTCCTAGCTAATTTGTAATAAATTAATATCTTTCGACTCAACTATCTTGATGATATTTCAACTTTTGATTTGCAAACCTAGTTATCCGGGTCAGGTTGGGTCGACTGCTTTATATGATATAGTATATATGTTGTTCCTCGATAAAATTTCGAACGAACTATTCTTAATTTTCTTACGAATAGCAGGATAGCAGCCTATACATGTTATGTAATCTTGAAATTACAAGTTGATAACCAAAGTCAGTCTTAGGAGACATTTTTATTGCAGGAGGAACAACGCGATCCAAGTATGTAAAAAAGACTGGTTTTCTATGAGTAGTTTTACCGATCGTATTTATATAATCATATTACTCAACAGTGTCCGACGCGGTATGCATTATCGCTATCGGAACTCGAGTGCTAGGGTTGAGCTACATACCACTCAGGAAGGCCCCTGTGGTGTAACTACTCGGCTGAATTGTTGATATACGACGAAGAATGTGTCCGCCTAGCTTGAGCTAAGCTCGCGCAGACATATAGGTATTTCACAGCAGATCAGATATTCAAGGAAATCTTAAATTTTTTAACAAAATTATTTTATGGATTATAGCTATTTTACGAGGTAAATACGTAAGTATATTAAGGTCTTTATCCGTTGAGGGTCGAAAATTAACGCTCCGTCCGTAAATCCGAGCATTTTTACGGAGTGGCGCCAGTCTGCTAGTGCGCAATCGTAAGGCCGATAAATGCATATCTATGCAAGTTCGCTAGAGGCCCTTCTGGTATTGGGCCGTGGCCCCCGGTTGGAATGCAGGTCTGGAGCACCAAAAGCTTGCAAGGGGGGCAATTGGCATTGGGCAATTAATAATGAACGACCGACGGAAAACACAAGCGGGCGACCCAAACTGCGTTGTTCGCAATCGTCTTGTTCGAGCTGCATGATTCGATCCGATAGCAACAGAGGTGGAACGGCAAAACGAGGAGGCGTCGACTAGCACAACGGCATGCCAGAAACTAATTCATGCGGCGTGCGAATGCGATGCAGTTAATTTGTGGAAACTCCGATGTGCGCACGAGGTCAATGTTATATACCCGTCCCACCCACCCCGAGTCGGGTAGTTGACATCCTCTCCCCTCCTCAACCTCCTCTCGACCGGCTACTAGAATACTCTATGCATCCCACGAATATATATTCTACAACATTTCGATATGGCATTGACACTAACCGGTCTTCCATATGACATCAAACATTCGCTTCTACAGCAGGTAAACGACCGAGATACCCTACTCAACCTCATCTCTACCAGCCGAACGTTCCTCGACATATTCACAAGACATAAAGATGTAATCATAAACAATCTTTATCTCTCCGAAGCACTCAACCATGCGCCAGACTCGATAATATTTTCCTACTGCCGTCGTACGGTCCTCGGCGTCGAAAGTATGGACGAACTCGTGGGTATCGCACGAGGATACGAGAAATACTCCACGACTGGGACAGCGCCTCCGTTCTTAACTTCAAATTTCGGAGCGTATGAGTCTCGAAAATTAGCCAAGTATCTTGTGGAAGACTATCTCGGGATTCGCAAAATCGCAATGACACACCAGTACTCCATCAGGGTATCTCGTAACGAGCCGGCTCTGACAACTACAGAGCTGCATCGAATCATGAGAAGCATATATCGTGGCTGGACGCTTCTCTTATTGATTCACCAACGGCAATTACTCCTCCAGCAAATCCCAAGCCTAGCCGTCAGCGAAGATTATTCTTCTTATGACCGGCATTTCATCGAAAGGATTATCGTCAATTGGGACTTTTGGAGCAGCTTACAGATTTGGGAACTCGTCGGCGACAACATGCGTGTCCTACCCACTGGCACGGTCGATGTCCGGGAGACGAAAGCATTCCAAAAATTCAATAGTGATGTCAAGGTATCTTTATTGCAGGATTTATTTGATGGGTTTCCTGAAAAGCAAGCCTTGACCTTGATATTCCCTGTATTCCGGCGCGGTATGAGTATACAACAATACTCCCTCCTGTATTATCATATATCAATACTGGTGCTGACACTGATATTTGTGTGCGTAGTGGATTCGAAACCATTCACGGAAGCAAGGTTCGCTCTCTCCAACGAATTCGCAGAATACCTCTTCATCCACCATGATCCGACCACAATCGCACCTCTCTACGCTCTCGATCCGACACCTTCTCCCAAAGTAGCATACGACAGAATCGCAACATACCTTTCCAAACCCGTGAAAACATACCTAACCTTAAAATATTCCCTCTCCTACCCGGACTTCCAATCTCTGTACGCCGTCGACACTTTCAGGATTTTAAGGGGGATGGTATCTAAAATCAAGCTAGCAGCTTTCCACAGTCCTCATGACAGTCATCTAGAAGACTTTTATGGGAGTGTGAGGTACAACGGGGAAGTTCCGATTATGAGGTTACTCGAAAGGCCGGTGGAGGATGTGAATCAGACGGACCTGAGAGGCAGGAGTAAAGAGTTATTCAATATTTTCAAGGGAATGGGTAAGATGATGAGTCCTGATTGTTGGGTAAAGAAGGCTTGGTTGTGTAATTGTTTGCTGGATGAGTGGAGGCTTGAGGGGAGAGGGTTTGAGTATCCTGTCTTTGAGGATGACTTTAGCCTTCCTAGAGCTTATTAGATGGACTTTTATGCTCTACTCGATTTCGTTTTAGCTCGCAATTGCTTGCGCATTGTGTTCATTATTTTGTTCTTATGCCTGAACTTCCTTCCAGAGAGCGAGCGAGCGAGCGAGTATTTTCGAATCTTCCTTACCATGACAGAATATGACTTAGGGCTTCTGTTCCATGCACCCGATAGTTTTTAACCTTCCAATCAAAACAAAAAAGTCGTTTTATTCGGCTAACATTACAAAACGAATGCGAAGAGGATAATTAGAGGCACCTCCGCTGCTGAAGCGTCATACACGGCTAAGAAGCATCTAACAATCTCTATGTTGCTGCAGGTGATGGCAAATGATCCGCCAGCTAACGCGGTATTAGCTGAAGCGAGGGCAACAAAAACAAAAAGCTAACAAAAAAAAGGGGATCAAAAAGAGAAATGCTCGAACTAGGACTTGAACCTAGGACCTTCTCATTCCACACTCAATCCGCCGATTAAAGCTGGATACGAGTGAGACGCTCTACCGCTGAGCTATACGAGCGAATCGAAATTTTGTGTTGGCTTTGACAGATTTGAACGTATTCGCATTGCTGTCGGGTTGAATTGCACTTGCAACCCTTAGAAAACTAACAGATGGGAGAATAATTAAGTCATTCTACAAGAAGGACCTCAAGTCCAACTAAAAAGAAACACTGAAGCTGATTTCGCGGAAGTATCACCAAGTCTTCCTCCGCTTGGATCCCGTCGTCTCGGGAAACCAGATTGCGATCAACGGTTTAATCGGGCATCCCTTGATCTTGCAAAATATTTAAATATATCGCCATGGTGCCAGCCCCTCGAGAATTCGAGGGCCAGCTTTTCAATTAAAATGTTTCTCACCTCACCATACCACCAACGAAACCAAAGGAGCGCCCAACAGACCATCTCGGAAGGAATTTGAACCGAGCGAACACTATTTCATCAAATCAGCTGGTCTGGAGAATCATATTGTGAGGGGGGACCGTCTCCTCCTGCTCGAGATCAATAGCTTTTGAGAGTGTAGCTAATTAATTGTCGAATAATCCAACTGGTGAAACCAACCAGCTTTCGCAGGTGAAAGCTTGGTCAAGTCACCTGCATGAAATTGATGCAATGGCTCCCTTACCTAAAACTCTCCGAGCGGCCAGTAGCGGCGCTGAATCGGACTGGGTATTTCCGCCCGATCTCCTCGAGACCGCTCAGATCTCACCTGCTCTTTTGCAAAATAGAGGAGGCCTAGGCTGGGCTCTCTATGCCGCATTTGGGCTGGGCCAGCATCTTTCCAGGAGACTTCCGCAGCAGAAGACAAGACCTGACGCTTCTTTAATTCCAATCTCATCATATCGTGCCAGATTTGTTCACTATCTCGTAACTCATTTTCGTACATTCTTTCGTCATACTTAACTAAATAATTCTCTCGTTTTTACCTCTAACGCTATCAATTTTGAACCAATAAGTTAATTTCTACGGTCAAATAAAACGCCAAATATCGAGAGTCGCGAGGCTTTGAATTTCGGAAATCGACTTTGAGATACCAGAGGCGGGAAATGCGAACCAGAACGGATGAGACAGCGCCGCTGATAAAGAGCAACCATGAACAAGAAAATAAACGAAACCTACCAACCAAACAACTAGCAGTTTTAGGTATATCCTTGATCGAAGATATTGTAAATTCTTAGAAACCACAGTATAGAGCTCTTCTAACTTGACTACTTCAATGGTTCGATATAGCAATATGCCGTATTTGCGAACCGATATGCCTGACGAGTATATTTTCATATTTACCCCAAATGATCAGGAGCTTCGGGGTACCTGAAGATGATATTGGTTTCTGGGCTGGTAAGTTATGTTAGACTTTTTCAAGCTATCCTGTCATTGTAAATGGGAACATTTTACGAATAATAAATCTGTTAGGTTTAATATCGGCATCTTTTGCGTTTTCTCAGTTCCTTACAGGACTAGCCTGGGGTCGCCTCAGTGATAGAATCGGTCGTATGTCTTCCTTTTACACCGATATAAATAATCGGCCATATACTGATATATGACAATGCTATTGTACTCACAATCGATCCGTCCTCCAACAGGTAAACCGGCGATTATCTTTGGCCTCGCAGCGATGCTGAGCTGCACAATAGTCTTCGGTTTCTCAACCAGTGTTCAGATGGCCATGCTCACCCGCTGCCTTGTGGGTCTTTTGAATGGCAACGTCGGTATACTACGGACCGTAGTAGCAGAACTCGTCCCCGAAAAAGAATTACAACCGCAAGCCTTTAGCTTACTCCCTTTGGCTTGGAACGTCGGAAGCATCATAGGCCCCGCGATCGGTGGGTTTCTCAGCGAACCAGCTCAGAAGTATCCTATTGCAAAAGGTGGCTTTTTCGAAAAACACCCTTGGGCACTGCCTAATCTTTTCATAGCCGCAATCTCCTTTATCGGGTGCCTTCTTGGTTTCTTGTTTCTCGAAGAGACACTCCCAGCGTACAGGCGTCGATACGACCCAGGCAGAGAGATAGGAAAACGAATCGAGGCCTTATTCTATTCCTCAAATTCGCAAACAATCTCCAAAACCTCTTGCGATTTGAGAGAAGCGCGCGAACACAACCGTTCAAAACCGCTCACTTGGTCACAGATTTTGACCCCTTCTTCCATTCGTATGATTATTCTATACGTCCTCGTCGCGATCCATCATATCACTTATGAACAGATTCTTGCTGTTTTACTAGCTACCAAAGTACACCCAGAATCTGATCCCATCAGCCTTCCCTTTCACCTACCTGGCGGCTTCGGACTGACGACATCACAAATCGGCCTCGTATTTTCAGTCATAGGCTTGAATCAGATTATAGCACAACTTGGTCTCTTCCCAAAACTAGCTCGTAAATATGGCGTGAGAAAACTACTCCTCATTCCAGCATTCTTCGACCCAGTATTCTATCTCCTTGTGCCGTATACTCTTGCTCTCAACGGTCCAGTGCTGTATGTAGCATGGGGGATACTCATACCAGTAACTAGTGTGAGCATCGTATGTACTCTCACCAGCTGTGTTATACTTGCCACGAATACTGCACCGTCTGCCGGAGCTCTAGCAACGCTGAACGGTCTCTCTACCAGTTTTGCTGCCCTAGGGTTTACAATCGGGCCGAGTTTATTTGGTTGGCTGTTTAGTGTGGGCCAGAAGAGCGAGTTGAGTATTCTTCCTTGGATCGGATTATCAACCGTGGCATTATCAATGTGGATTTGGCTGCCGAAGGTTGAAGAGGAGAGAAGTAATGTTGATGATGAAAATGATTCTGAAGCTACAGGAACTGATAGCGAAGATAATCAGAGCAATGGGGAGAGTGGGAGCAGTGAGGCTTTGACATTTGGCACGAATTGATCTTAGTGCTTGATTTGCAATATTTGGGTAACGTATATTTGATATCTGATCAATTTGAATGTGTAACGATAATCTAAAGTAAAATTAATGAATATATATATAACAGCTGCATTAATGAAGATTGGTTTTACACAGATTGATGATAAAGATACAAACTCGTGCCTAGCAAATGATAAATAGCTGCTATCATACTAGCTACACCCGATGAATAAGTACTCGTGAAATCATTTTAGCAAATTTCACGGATTTATAATCGCATTTGCACGAAGTATCGCATCTCTTGCCCCGTCCCACTTTTTCCTCGCCTTCTCACCTCTTCCATCAAACAACCTTTGCAGAAATACAGTATCCACCCCATCCATAATCATACGATACATCTTTCTCTCATTCCACCAGAACGACCACCCTTCCATCCCCCATCCCAACTTTTCATTAATTCCATTCCCTGCCGCATCGTTCAGCCATTTCTCTAGACTGCCAGTATCACAAGTAAAACCGAAGATCCTCCACCTCGACACCTCCGATAGCGTCTTCTGATAATGCGCCTCACACCATCTCTCCATTTCGCTCTTTTCAGGGAGCATATAGTTTCCCTTCCAGATTTGCGACAGAGCTGCGGATGCGAGATCGCAGTTTGCCATGTGGGAGAATGAATACCCCCGGTATGGTCCGATGAAGGCTAGGGACTCTGGGTACTTTGTTGAAAATATACCCTGGTATAATCTCGGGTATGGGAGAGACCTGGAATGCTCCTGTTTATCCCATTCTGGAGTTGGAAAAGCAGTGGGGTCTGCTTCCCTACCGAAGATGGAGTAATCGAATTCATACCCCGTGCAGTATATCACAGCATCTATCGAGTCGAGAACCCGGCCGTCGGCCAATTCGAGCGCGTTTCCGGAGAGGAGTCTCTTGACACCGTGCACAGATTCGATCTTGCCATCTTGGAGGAGTGGGATGAGGTAGTCGTTCACCATGGGAGTGACGTTGGGTATTGGTGGTGCGGGGAGGAGCCGCCATTCTCCATGCTTGAGAACTTGGGGGAATGCAGATGCCATGTTGGACTCTAGGTAGTACTCCATGAATCTTGGGAACAGCCGTGGGAACCATCTGGAGATATTAGCGATAATGTAGGAGATGCGACGGGTGAGTTTGTAGTCTACTGGTGAGCCGTCGCCTTCTTTGACTCGTGAAATTACTCTTGCTCCTGATCTATGAGCAACGTAGACTTGATCGCACACTTTTGCAAGATCCACTGCGATATCTCCGGCGGTGTTACTCAAGCCGACTACAACGACTCTCTTTCCTGCAAAGTCATTCGGTTCTTTGAAGGCTTGTGAGTGCAGTATCCTGCCCTTGAAGATGGGCCTGCTCTCTTCTACGTGTGCTGGGAAAATAGCTTGGGTTTGGGGACCTGTGCACACGACGACTCGAGTGAATGTTTCTCTTGTAACAGTCCCAGTTTTATCTTTGAATGTGATATTCCAATTCTGTCCGTCCTTGGAGCGTTCAAGGAGCTGAACGGCCATGCCTAGTCGACAATGCTTAAGGAGATCAAATTTCTTTGCATAGCCCTGGATATACTTTACGATATCGTGGGCGGGCGAATAGTGGCCCAGCTCGTTAGGGTATTCGTAGTCTGAGAAGGTGAATCTGTACTTCGGTTCGTTCGTCGTTGTGGTTTTCAGGACGCATGTCACATTTTCGTTCGTGGTATACTGCCATATGCCGCCGATATACTCGTTTCGATCATAGCCAATGGCGTTCAGGCCTTGCTCTCTGAGGTTCTTAACACATGCTAGGCCTGTACAACCAAGTCCAAGTACTGCAATTCTGTCGTTCATGTTTTCGTTTGATGCTGGATGTTAAGATCTTTATAATAGTGTAGGTATGAACTATTGTTTGATTCGAGGACTGAAATTTTCTTTTATAAGGAAAAAACTATCTGATAACGTATATATATGATCCAAATTCGGAAGCAGAGTTAGAGGGATTATTATATCATTAGCTCAGAGTTTCAAGCGTCACACTAGAAATGACAGGATTGCGGTGCGACGCATGCTCTTATAGGAGCAAGTATACCCAAGCATCAAAGGCTACCATGATACTGAGAGCCGTGGGTATCCGCAGATCTAACTCGAAATGAGTTT